CTAATCCGAGCCCTCCGAGCCCAAACGGTGCCCCGTAGTCTAAGTTAACCTCAGAAATAGCCGCAAGTCTCTTTAGAAGCCATATCATGAAGAAGAAATCAGGGAGAGCCAGAAACCCGGTCCCCAGGTGTGTTACTATGACTACAAAAGCCACACGAGCGGAGCTGGCCGTGCTAGGATTAAATTAACCTCCAAGAACAACATCTCACAACCTGCTTTTAGTGAACACTTTGTCTGCTGTCTATGCTTCAAGCTCTCAGGGATTCAGTCACGTGCCGGGCAGCACAGGTGCGACAGGTGAGTCAGGTGAGAGGGTTACTGCTGCTCCAGCTTTCATTTGGAGTTAAATGCACAAAAACACTCCGTATAAACGCAGAGAGTCACGGAGGCATCACATATGACTTCCGGAGGAGGACTGTGAGGAATCGTTAGTGAAATTCTCTCGGACAACGCGACACCAGCCTTTTCTATATTTGTAAGAAAAATCCTTTAACAACCTTCAGTCCAAGTTCAAGGCTGAGTGTTTTCAGACTGTTGGCACTCAAACGTTCCTCTGCACCATATTTGAAAAGAATAAAAGTCCAACACTTTACAGTTTTTAGGAGAAACCAATGAACGTCAGAGTGAGACACGTGGATGCCGTGGCTCAGGGGGTCTGCGTTTGGCTTCTGACGTTTCTGTATGAAATAAACTCATTTTGCGCTGCTTTGTTGGGCGACAGGAAACAACAGGCCACAGATAGAAGGTTGTTTTATGACATTTTATAGTCGTAAATGAGTAAAATGACTGGCGTGAAGTTAGGATAAACAAAAATAACATTTTATTCAAATACATCAGAGAGAAGCTGATCATGTTATTGTGTTAAACAGCCTGAAACTACTTAAATTATTTCAATATTTTCAAAGTAAAAATCCTTTTTTGGGGAGGGGGGATCAGGACTAAAATAATTTTAAATGATTTTTCAAGATAAAAGCCTTTAATTAGTTGTCTAGACGTTATCAAGGTAATTTATTTCTGTGAGAATGTCAAAATAAGAGGCCTTTTTTTGATTGTGTGAAACAAGTTACGTTCGCTTATTTCAAAATAAAAGCCTCAATTAGTTATTGGAAGTTACCACATTTTCTACATTTAATCCTCTAGTTAGTTGGGAATTCATTGAGATTATTTAAGATGACGGTTGTTGGTTTTTTTTGTTTTTGTTTTTTAGTTAAAAAAAATCATCTATTCAGTTACTGGAACTTGTCTATTTTGGTAGATTTTCAAAATAAAACAATATAATTTGTTAGAAAGCTTTCATGATGCTCAGAAAGACCTCAGATTGTGTGAAGTTAGTCAAGTGTATTTATCATAGCAGGTTTCCAAAATAAAAGCTCCTGTTTTTCCGGGCTTTTTCACATAAACCTCTAAAATTTGCTGCTTTTGCTCACTTGAGTCAGCCATCTTTATTTTATATTTTTAACCTTCTGAGATACGAGACAAATGTTTTGGTTAAAAAAAAACTATTTAACTGACCTAAATAAGTGTCCCATAGCACATATAGCACACCGAACATCGGCTGAAAGGTCAGCGAGAGATCAGCCCTGTGTTTCCACACACACGCATGTATTTGGAGCAGCATGGCAGCCACGGCGTCACGTGAACTAATGCAGTATGTAGGTGTATATGTGTGATGCAGCATCAGAGCACACTGAGGGGATACGGTGATGTCACAGCTTGAGGCTGGGGTACGCTGTGAATGGGATTTATTGATTGTAGCCTGATAATCTGTTATTTCCTGTTTTTGTTTTTGGATTTCTTGCCAGTCAATGTGAGACAAAGAGACACAGAGTAAGTGGGCAAAAAGTAAAAGTTTGTTTTTGTGTGTTTTACTATTTTATGCAAACGAGAGAAAGCACTAAAGCTTTTATTCTGAAGAATTGATGCTTCTTGTCAATGCAAATAAACGTGGAACTGTTCAGTCGCTGCTGCCTCTTTTTTCTTTTCAATGAAAGTACACACAGGTTAGCTTTGCACGATTCTTACTTCAGACTAATCCAACTTTGTCTCACACTCAGGCCTCGAGAAACAAGGAAAAGCATAAAACGGTCGCCTTCAGGTGCAATGTTCCCTCTAAGCTGCGCGGGTGCGCAATTGCGCACTGCTGGCACGGTCTCTGCGCACAGAAAATCTGTGTTGCGCACAAAAAAAATCTAACCTGAATTGAAATTAAAATAAATACGTTAACATTTCTGTTCTGCAGTGTTAGTCAGTGAGTGACTGGCTGCTCCCGTATGGGATCAGAATGATGCCACCTTATCCCACAGTCCAGCCAATGATGGGATTCACATTCGTATATACGCAGCTAATCCACGTGGTTGACAGGCTATGACAGCGTCCTTATGTGCCCACACCGGTGTTGATGTGGAGTGAAGCCACGTTAATGACAACGTGTACAACCATTGGAGATGTGAGCAGGACAGACGGAACAACTGACGGAAACAGTGTGGACTTTATACCAGTTTTTAAACTGTGTTGATCGGCCGCGTAAAACCAGAGTCATGATAAAATATCTGCAGTGTTTGGGTTTCTTCCTGAATACTGTCGTTGTTTATATTTACTGCGGGAAGAAACGGTAAAAACGGCGTTTTATAAGGAAAACGCTCGAAATCACTCCGCCTGTGAGCAAGACAGCCCCCCTCCAGCCTTTCCTATTGGTGGAAAAATGTACCATGTGGACCAATCAAAAAATGATATGGCAACATGGCATTTAGATGTTTAGGGAGGGGGAAGTTTTAGGAGTGACGGCGTGTTTGAGATGTGAGAGATTTGCGACGTTTAACACAAATCTTGTGTAGTTAGTGTGTAGTGTGTAGTGTGTGTAGTGAGTGTGTAGTTAGTGTGTAGTGAGTGTGTAGTGTAGTGTGTAGTTAGTGTGTAGTGAGTGTGTAGTTAGTGTGTAGTTAGTGTGTAGTTGAGTGTGTAGTTAGTGTGTAGTTAGTGTGTAGTTAGTGTGTAGTGTAGTCAATAGTGTTGTTGTGTGTGTCAGAACAATGAGGCGACTGCTGAGTGTTGCAGGTGTTACAGCAGTGACACATCTGCTGCTGTCAGGCCTGCAGGTATCAGGCTGTTGTTCATCTCATAGTGGACAGAGAATTTTTTTTGGAGCGGCACAAATAATTTGTTCATAGTTGTGCAGAACAGCTGATTGTTCTGTAAATAGTTTGAAATGTTTGTTTAAAAACACCTTGGCTGCATTTTTAGGTAAACAGCTGCAAAAAACTTTGTTTGCATAACTCAGTTACTTTTTTGAAGAAGTAACTATATAATTAATTTCCCAGCATTGGTCATTATTTACTGTATTTTGCAGACAGAGTTACAGACTCTCTCCCAGACTCAGACTCATCATACAACTCAGAGCTTTATTGGAGTTCAGGTTATTTTTTAAGATTTGTTTACATTTTCATTGTAAGTGGGCTAAAGCAGTTAATTAAAAGTCGTCTAACATAAATGTAAACGCTGTAATTTGATTATTTTAGTAAACCATGTAACTTGGATGGATTCGACGCTGGCGTGACCACAGTGCACATGTCTGCTGTCGCTCACAGTGGACCTAGGGACGCTCAGGGAGTTTGTGTGTTCGCTCAGACACATGGAAAATTAGAGGGAACATTGGTTCAGGTGTATATGACAGATTCTGCCCCAGCTTCCTCATTAATGGAGAACTGACGCTGTCAAAATCAAAAATATATGGACAAAAACGTGAATCAGTAAATGGTCTGTCACTAAATTGCTATGTGGGCATGAAAGGTACCTATTCCAAAATTTACTAAAGCTAGGAGCGGACTGTGAGGATACACCCGCAACTTTATGTTCAAATCATCTGTTTATTGTGTCCAAAAAATATCAACTAAAGCTGAAATATGGCCAGGCTGCACATCCATGTAATACCAGTTTCTACCACCAGATGGTGCAGCGACGCAGGGTTACCTTTATTTAACCAAGAGAGATAGTAAGAGCACATTTCCTGTGCGAGGACAAAGATGCTATAAAACACCCATCAACAACCACAGTGGGGAACACCGCCCCCTGGTGGTTCATTTAACTTTGAAACAGACAAATCTCTGCTTTTATTTGCTCTCGTGTTTCTTGCATTTGTGTGGGAATCAAATCCAAATTTCTAAAATGTTCTCATTTGATCTTTCAAGTTATTTTCTCATTTATGCATAAATGTATTACATACTGTATTTACATGATATTATCAGTGGTATGGAGGACTCTAAGTGCCAAAATCATAACACAATAAGGAAGTTATATGAATAACAATTAAATAAAAATTAATTACAAATAAATTCCGGCGCTAATCAAACTAAAGGATGAACAGATTTCTTTTCTCTTTATTTTGTAATCACATGGACATTTTCTGACATTTCTCTTAAAGACACTTTGTGCTGATAAACTCGATTTAGTGCACATCTTTCAATCGGAGATACAAACATGAACACAGTCCTGAGGAGTCTCTCAGAAAGGAGAAGAAGAAGAAAAGGCGGCGACAGCGTAAAGAGTCCTAACACGAGAAAATCTGCAGCTTTACGAGATTTCAGTCTTCAAAAGAGACCCGAAGCTCTGACGTCACAAAGCCTGAAGCAGGAAGACGAGTAAAGAGACATCAGCAGGGTCCTGCAGTGGTCCTTCAGCGCTGCTTTCAAGGAGCAGCCAGGAGCCTGGGACGTTTTTCTTTCCCCTCATGCGGAGAGTAATACATGGTAGCGGCTGGGTACACGGGTACAGAGAACCAGAGAAGCCAAAAATATAAATTACATTATGGTATTATACATTTGCTAATAAAGCCATCAAAGTGAATATTAATGCTACACGGACATAAATGAACTGATTTCTATTTATTACTGTATTTATTTCAATTAGCAGTACTTATTTATTTTAAAGTACATTACCCCCCAATTCATTTTTCATTTTATTTCTGCGTTGGGCAAAAGTATAAATGTTTACCACTCATATGTTCATTTGTGATTTAGGCAGTTTTACAGTTTTATTATTTGTATGTTTCAGATGGTTTAGCTGAAGCAGAACAGTAGAAAAAAAATAAAGTAAAAATAAAAGATATTTGGGGAAATAAATCAGGTGACAAGAGGAAAGGAAAATATTTCAAGTTGGTTAATAAAGAAAACCAAAGTGAACATAATTAAGTTCATAAAAATGTAATTAATGCTTGCATTTATTTCCAATATGGTTTTGTTCCTAATAAGTAATTTAATTCAGTCAAAATGAAAGCAGAAAATTCCAGACTTTTCTCAAACGCAGCATTATCAACTTTCAGGTGTGAAATAAAAACACCTGGTCTGATTTTAGCTTTGAAAATCAGTCCAGATGTGACTGTAACGAAACAGCTGTCGGTCAGATTCAGATTCAACACTTTATGGAAGACTGAAGCCGCCAAAAACAAATTTGTGTAGTTAACCGCTTTCTGTCCTTTTTAAATTCATTTTCTATTTTGGCATCAATCCATCAAAATCAAAACGTTAACATCACAAACATTTTGATTTTACAAAAACAAAATTTGGAAACAAAGAAAAGAAAACGATTAACAAAATAATAAGAAAACAAAAACTGTCACTTTATAGAATAAATATTTAAATTCAAATTATTTATCCACCACCTGCTCATTTATAAATTAATAGATAATTAAAATACTAACATGTATTATTGGGTCATTTAATACTTTCACAGCTAAGTTGCTTCTGCATTATTTTACTTTATTTTTTATATTTCTTTTTATGTTTTCCTTCATAGTCAAACCTTTGGCCTAGAATCTCTTTAATCCCTTATTTATTAATTTATCTATACATTCTTTGAAGAGTTAGCGATGCATACAAACAACATGGAGTTTTCTGATGCTCATATTCCTACGTATTTAATGGCGAATCACAAATGAGCGTATTACCTAGAACTCTATACCAATTTTAAATAATTTTAAACACTTTTATAAACAAATAACTGGGAAGGTAACGAAATGGGAGAATTATTTTATTATACAGCAGTAAATTAAATTTTATGAATCCAATATTCATCTATGCCCATGGACTATTAATAAACTTATTGATGCATTAAGGCTTATTGGCTGGATTTCACTGTGGTCGTTTCAGTCCTGCACATCTATTTTTCCCCCATTTTGACAGCCTGGAAACAAGAAAACTGTCGATTCAACAATGGATTTACGTGTGATTTGGGCAGCTGGGGTCCTCCATACAAGTTAGTGTCACTGAGCAGAGTAAATACAAATACCGAGAGAGGTTTATGAGCTTCAGTCAGGTTTCAGGACAGACTCTGGCTTAACCGGAGTCTCTGTAGAGTAAAGAGCCTCAGTTTTTAAAAATAAAACTACTTCCTGAAAGTCAGCACATCAACAGAATGATTCAGATGTGGGTTCCTGACCGTCACATCCACGGGGATCACAGCACAGGCAGGAAGTCGTTTACTGTTGCCTGAGGCTCCGATGTTTGTCCAACTGAAGCAGAAGCTGGAGTGAATAAAATTCACGCTCCAGAGTGTGTGCTGCAGGGCTGATGCATCATTTCTACCTTTTACCACAAGTTAATCCCACATTTGGCCCTTTACTCTGCGCCTGCTGGCGGCTCTGATGATGACTGTGGAGATCCTTTGTGGATCCAGCCAGGCTGCAGGGCTCCGGGAGGGTGGAGGGGGGGATCAGAGGCACACCTCCGGGCCCGGGTACGGCTCCCCTCCGCACCAGAATTCCGGAGGCTGCGAGATCTCCATGAGCCAGACCTCCTTCTCCGTCTGCTCCGAGTCTTTGACCCCGTCCCCGGGCAGCACCTTGTAGTAGTGACAGTCCCTGCCGTCGTCCGGGTCGTACGGCGGGGCTAAGATGTCCATGAAAGCTGTGGGCCCATCCACGGCGTCAATCTGGTGGAGGTTGTCCCGGTCGGGGGAGAGGACGCAGGGTCCACTCTCCTCCGTGTACTCCCCGGTGGAGCGAAGCACGTAGCGCCGCAGAGCGCCCATCTCCGCCCGGGGCAGCGCGTCCCCGCCCGGTCGCTCGAGCCGGTCGAAGCAGCTTATCCGGACCTTCCCGTACATGACTTTGAGCACGCCGTGCATGCCCGGGTGGTCGTGCAGCGGGATAGAGGCCCCGCTCTTCAGCAGGAACACCCCCATGCTGAACTGGTCCGTCTCACAGATGTGCATGTAGGTGACCGGGGGCGCACCGCGGTGATACGGGTGCTGAGCAGGGGGCGCGTCGCCGTCCTCGGCTCTCCGCGGGACGAGCTTCAGGTCGGCAGCCCGCACTTCCGACATCAGGCTCCGGAGCTTGCCGTGGTTCTCCAGGAAGGACTTGGAAGCCTCGTCGCCCACCGCGGGTGTGTTCCTGAAGGTGACGAGAGCCTGCCGAGCTATCCTCTGAACCAGGGAGGCCATACTGCTGTCACCGGGCATCATACCGAAGCGAGGAGCCGACGCTCGGTCCGCTGGTCCCCGTTAGCTGTAGCTGTGTGTAGCTAGCGCCGAAGATCGTGTGACCGCGAGAGGACTCACTCCTCAGGGGCTCGGCTCACTGGTTTCTGCCCTCACGAAGATCAAAGCCTAAAAAAAGAAACTGCAGAAACAAAAACGACGAAATTAAATATCATAAACCGAATAACGAGAAACAGCAGGGCTGGTATTCATCCTTCGGGTGTCCTCCCACAGAGTCTGCGACGGTTTACAGCGCCGCCATCAGTGCAAACGTAACTCCCGCTGTGTGAAGCCACGGAGGACCGAAGCGGCCAAAATTGCAAACTTCACAAATAAACAAACTAATTTGTTATTAAATTAAGTTTTAGATAATTTCTCGGCTCCTTTCATTATTACTTTCAATTTTGACGTCCACTAACCAAAACCTTAAAAATGTGACCTCACGAAAACACTTTGAATTTGCAAAAGGAAACAGATACAGAGGACGGCAAAGTAAAAAAAAAATGTTAATAAAAAAATGATTATTTTAACAAAAAAAACCCAAAACAAATAAAAGTGAGTAGGTAAATCAATTCAGAAACAATTTGTCACATATTTTTAGGATAATTATTTTAATTAGTTCCATTTATTTGTTGTATATTTCAACAACCCTCTGTCCATAATCACATACGGTGTATGCTACCGTTTATTATCTTATTTATTTTGTATTTGTTTGTATTTTTCTTCTGCTATCTCTACCTGAGTCGAGGTAATGACCACATTTCCCCGTGTGGGATCAATAAAGTCTTATCTTATCTTAACTGTAATTAATCCATACAAGGTGACTCGGGGAGCTGTTTCCCTGTTACTGGGTTTCAAAAATGGCAGTTTAATTTTCGGGAATGAGACGCTCTCGTGACTCATCGAGTGACACCACTGAGCAGCCAATCGGTGGCATGCGGTCTGATGACATCACATTTCAGTACCTGCTCAGATAGCTTTGTAGCCCAGCGAGCAGGTACTATTTTAGCACCTGTTCAGGAAAAACCCTGAAAACAATGATTGTTTTGGGTCCCACTGATAAAAGCATCAAGTGTATTTGATGAATCTCGTGGTGCGTTTTAGGATGCATGCACTCTTATATTGTACATGTATTTATTACTCTCAGATTTAGCCATTCTTATATTTTTGCGTGTTTTATGTTATTTGTATTTTTGCACAACTCTGTTGCTTGCGAAGCTCGCACACAAGAATTTCACTCGCATGTACTGTACCCGTGTACCTGCACATGTGATGTGACAATACAAGCGATTTGATTTGAAATTATGATGCCCGGACTCGAACCCGCTGGGGCCTCTCTGTGAGGTGTCTCTAAACTAGTGACCTGTCCAGGTGTGCTGCAAGTGTGTCTGAAGCTTCAGTGGAAAAAGTGTTGCATTCACACAAACATGACGTCATGGATCATAATCATTAACCCGACATGAACTGAAAGAAATCCCACCAAACAGCTGATTTTAAAGCTAAAATCAAAAACACAACGCATACGTCACCGGTGCGATCACCACAACAACACGTGGCACGTTGACCGCCGTTAGTCTGATTTTGTGCATTTTTCTTTGGACGGAATGATTTCCGGTGTCCAGAAACGGCAGCAGAGTGAGACCTCACCTGCTCCCCTGCGCTCACCTTTTCCACAGCCTGCTGTCCTCATTCATTCCCGTTTTTGTCGATCAGCGCGTGAGGCTCCGCGAGCAGCACACAAACAAGCTAAAGAGGCAAACGGACACAAAGCAGGAGGAGTCGGAGAAGCTCGGGGAGCTTCAGGGTGTCTGGAGGCCTTCGTCACACTCCGCCGCGGTCACTCTTATCTGCTCCGCTGCCCCATTTTTGAATTACTGTCAAACACGTCCGCACGGCGCAGCGTTTCACGGGTTCACACCTGGTGCATTGTGGGAAACGAAGTCTGTCGGGCCTCTCGCGTGGACGTCCACGACACCAAATCAGATTGAAGTCAAACGGGGACAAAATGAGCTTCGTATTTAGGTCCCTCTCCTCCAGGGTCAGCGCACTGCGAACACTGTCGCTTTATCCGCGAGCTTAAGGTCAAGCGAATATCTAGTAGCACTACATTACCCAGCATGCCTCTGAATATTTACTTCTTAATGCTCTTTGCCCCCAGTCATTACTGAGTTACAAACAGTCGACAGGAGTAACCCAGCAGCGGGCCAACATCGGGATAAATATAGAGTGCATCAACTGTCTGAAGCATATTAGTCTGAAAGATGAAGCCTCGTTTCCTAGAACGCTTTATTCCAAAGAAAACACTCCACGGTTCACCGTGGGAGCATTAATGTGGCACTTTACACTCGGACGGCCTCGAGTTTCACATTTATCACATCTTGTTTATTAAAGATGTCAAAAAGCAGCGTTCTGGTGATTAATGTGGACATAAGTGTCATATATGCTTTTACTTATAATAATTCACCGCTCCAGCTGGATTTGAACCCTCAGCCTTCAGGTTATTATCAACAGAAACGCCATTTACAACCACATTAGCCTCGTTTCAGCCTGTCTTTATCAGGGAGCAGCACAAAAACATTGATCTCATGACCCGATTAAGCTATCAGCTATTTTCCATCAGTTCTTGGCAGCAGACGCAGCATGAAGTAAACATAAAACACAAAAACATGTCAAAAACGTGAGATAAACCAATACAGGCAGAGCTTAAAAACTGCACAATGCTCCGGCGTCATCCTTCCCCCAAGACATTTTGAGGCTGACGCACTTCTTCATGAACTTAACAAACATTAAATATTCACAGTGTCAAAGAGACAGATGGCCAATAATTTAATAAAAAATAGTCAAATGGCAAAAGGGACCACATATCCTCAAAAAAGAGAAAAAGAAACATGATAAACGAGACAGCTCATCATACTCAGAACAACAAGCTGGGAAGTTCTCTCTTCTTCTAAACAGCTGCAGATTTTAGAGATCGTCACATCACGCAGTCGTACCGAAGTCTAAGTTCTTTAGATGTGTCACCACCGAGCTCTGGAAGGAAGGAAGTGGGTTAGGATCTCCAGGAACAACCAGGAACAGCCAAGGCTGAAGCCCGCCAGTGAAGCTCATTTTACAACATCGTGGACAGGAAGGAGCCCCGGCACCAAAATCAACACCTTCAAGCTCAGCTGGAATTCACAGCTGCCCAAATGGATGAGCCAAAAAGACGAAGACTGAGCTGTTTGGCCACAAGGACAAGAGGCATGTTTGAGGGAGGGACGGTGAGAACACAGCACCGAGCATGGTGGTGGTAGCATCAGGATCTGGGACTGTGTTGCTGCTACACCGTTTTCAGCTTTTATGGAACACATTAAAGTTGAAACCTGGTTGTTTTGTGTCTACATTGAGTGTTTGTTACATTTTTCATAAGGTTTGTAGTTCATTTGTGCCTCTTTTCACTCATTTTGCAACATTTTGTGTTTGTTGGGACTGTTCTGGTCATTTTTGCACATTTTGGTGTTATATGTGATATGTTGTAGTTTTTTGTGCTTCTGTAATTGTTTTGCATCTTTTCTGTCATTTGAAGTTGTGTTCTGCTTGTTTTGTGTTCATTTTCCGTCTGTTTTTGGTGCTTTGGGGTCCCTTTATGCCTTTTTGTGACTTTTTGGTCCCTTTTGTGATCATTTTTGCATTTTTCCTGAGTTCTTTAGTGTTCCCCTGCAGGCATTTTGCATGATTGTGGGCTTTGTGGACATTTTTGCCTTTCTGTAGACATTTGAAGTATTTTTATGTTAATAGTAGTCACACGGCATCATGTCTGGTCATTTTTAATCATTCTATGTCTTTTTTGTGATTTTAAAGGTGTTTCCTGTCTGATTTGTGTCTTTACGGTCATTTCCCTCCACCTTTGGCCGTTCGGAGTTTGCGGCTGTCTCGTCGCCTTTTTGTCACTGCAGGATCGCTGGACCTCTATAATAACCCCACTCACGAGAGGGTGTCAGCTGTATTCATCATATTTTGGGATAAAGCTCTTCAGCTGTTTGGGGTCCGTCACTCTGCTCCAAACGGAAGAGGACACTTTAATGAAATTATAACATCTTTGTGGGTAAAAAACACACTTTAGTCCTGCAACTCTAACAGTGACTCATCTGTAAGCGTGACTCACTAGTTGAGTTTGGCATTTCATGATAAAGACGTAGGCAGCCCATTTGGGCATCTTTCTGCTGGGAAACACCCACCCACACACACACAGCCTACTTTATGGAAATTCACCCTGATAAAGGCATTCGTTTGGCTGATTTGTGTTCACTGCTGACATCAAACCAGAGAGCAACAGGATGTGGGCGATCCTCCTCAGGATGTGTTATCCTGTTAGGGTGCTCACTGTCCACAGCCAACTGATTTGTACCTGTTTTAAACATGTCAGGTACAGTTTTACAGATTTAGGGTTGAAATGCAGAGTTTACAGAGGTTCATCCAGGACCGTAAATCTGAAAAACAAGCTGACACAAACCAAACTGCATGTTTCGATGCTCTAAAAGGATTAGTAAAGTTCACAAACACCAGTCATGCTGTTTGCTGTGTGTTCACTTAAATGCCCTACGTGCAGTTTGTGCCAAGCTAAACAAACACTTTGTGTTTGTTGTTTTGTTTTTAGGTCATTTTGTATATTTGGGAGTTTCTCTGTGGTTGTCTTATTATTTTACGGCCACTGTGTTTTGTTGTGTGGCAGTTTTGAGACATTTGTTACCTTTTCTCACAATTTTGAGATTGTTTTGAATTATATTGTGTTCATTTTAATTTTTTTGGTGTGTGTGTGTTTCGATGCTGTTTGCACGGAATTTGCAGCATTTTGTAGTTTTTTGGGGGAGTTTTGTTTTTCACCTATTTGTGAGCATTTGATCTTCTTTGGCGTCTCTTTGTACTTTACTGCATTACTGTAGATATTTCTGACAATCTTTTGTGGGTTTTTCTATTTTGATGTTGTTGTGGGGTTTTGGATGAGATGCTGGCTCTTTGGGAGAATTTATTTCTGTTACTTTCCATCTTTTTTGTCATAATTTTGCACGTTTCTTATTTTGGGGGTCTGTTGTGCTCATTCTGAGTTGATGTGGACCCTTTTGTGGTAATTTTGTACCATATTTAAATTTTACATGCATTATTTTGTGTCTTTTTTAGGGCCATTTTTCATTACTTTGTGAACCTTTTTGTAGTCATTTAGGCTTTTTTGGTGGGTCCTGTATCAGCTGTTTCCATTAAACCTTTGCAGAGTGCATCAGTCGAGTTTCGCAGTGACTTTTGTAGAGTTTTCCAGTTGTAATCAGATCATTGATGACATAATGTGGACAGGATCTGGAGCCACCATCATGCTGACTCTTTAACACCTCAGTACTGTAGTGTGCACTCGGGCTGTGAGCGAACTAGTCACAGAGATCTCCCTCCACCCGTCCGTGGAGATGTCACCCGCTCCCACACAGATCACCTCCTCACTTCCCTTCAGTCCGTAAAAACTTCTCCTGACACCCACCCACTCACAATGTGACACGGAGGCCTCGCTTCCACACCAGAAATACTGCCGAGCATGTGTGCGGTCAGCGTGTGACGCCACAGTTCTCCTGAAGCGACGTGCTGTTTTTATTAGCAGGAAGCGAAGGCCTGCTGAAAATAGACGGCGTGATGCAGAGCTCGGACGCTTTTAGCCCTGATGGAGAGCCAGATTGTGGAAGCCCCGCGTAGGCCGTCCTCCAAATCAAATAAACAGTTTAAATTATTCTGCAACAGGCGGCTGCTGTGCAGCCAGCACACACACACACACAAAGACACACACAAACACACACACACGGCCAGCCTTGTATATTTATAACAGGACAGTAAACAGCAGAGGCTGTGCATGTTGTGTGTAGACTGCAGACTCTTTTGAGGTTTGCTGTCCTGTGCTTACTGCACCAGTTCACAGCTTCATTCTGCTCCTGGACACTGAAGATCCTCCCATGATGCACTGCATTAACTCGATATCTTCCAAGATCACATTTACTTTAGTCTACAATCCAAGATTATTTTTTGCTACTATATCTGCACATCCAATCACAAATTGTCAACTCAAGTCAAGTGGCTTTTATTGTCCTTTCAGCCATGTGCAGTGGGACAGTGCAGAGTGAAACGAGACAGCGTTCCTCTGAGACCCTGGTGCTGCATATGACATAACAGACGATCAACACAGAAATACATAAAGTGTGTGTGTGTGTGTGTGTGTGTGTGTGATACTGCAGATAAGTGCTCGGCAGTGATGTGTATGCAGCTGTGTGTGTCACTGAGTGTTCAGGAGTCTGACGGCTTGGGGGAAGAAACTGTTCCTCAGTCAGGCAGTGAGCACCTGGATGCTCTGGTACTTCTTGCCAGAAGGCAGCAGGGTGAAGCGTGTGTGTGAGGGGTGTGTGGGGTCCTCCACAATGCTGGTGGCTTTACGGATGGAGCGGGTGCGATAGCTGTCTGTTATGGAGGGAAGAGAGGCTCCAATGATCTTCTCAGCTGCTCTCACTATCAGGTCTTGCAATCCGATACAGTGCAGTTACCATACCAGACAGGGATGCAGCTGCTCAGGACGCTCTGGATAGTCCAACTGTAGAACGTAGCAACACATCATTCTGAGCATCAAACCGTGCATAGACGTTGTTCAGCGCATCTGGTAGGGATGCGTGGTCACAGATGTGTACTAAGTTGGTGCGGTCAACATTTGTTGCAGCCTCCCTAAACATGTCCCAGTCAGTGTGCACAAGAGTCCTGAAGGGCGCTGAGAGCTCCTGCAGGCCAAATTCTCACCTGTCTCAGAACCAGTTTGCAGCGTCTGACGAGTCTGTTAGCAAAACAGACAAGTGGTGTGAGTGTCCGAGGTGTGGGCGGGGCTCCTCTCTGTATGCGCAGACCTTGTCCTTCAAATGTAGAAATTTGTGATCAAACTTTAGTCTCAAACTAGTTTGTGAACTTTTTTCAGGATGTCAGTGAGCTCGAAGTTTGGGGCAAA